CGGCGTCGGCGTCGGCGTCGGCGTCGGCGTAACCGCAACCCTCGTAACCCTCGTGAGGGTTACGAGGGTTACTTACCCTCGTAACCCTCACGAGGGTTACGAGGGTTTTTACCCTCAGAAGGGTTACCTTCACAAGGGTTACCCTCACGAGGGTTACTTACCCTTGTAACCCTCACGAGGGTTACGAGGGTTAGTAACCCTCGTGAGGGTAACCCTCGTGAAGGTAACCCTTTTGAGGGTTACGAGGGTTAGTAACCCTCGTGAGGGTAACCTTCACGAGGGTTACTAACCCTCGTAACCCTCAAAAGGGTTACGAGGGTTAGGTTACCCTCGTGAGGGTAACTCTCATAACCCTCGTGACCCTCACGAGGGTTACTTACCCTCGTAACCCTCACGCGGGTTACGAGGGTTAGTAACCCTCGTGAGGGTAGCCTTCACGAGGGTTACCCTCACGAGGGTCACGAGGGTTACGAGAGTTAACCTCACGAGGGTCACGAGAGTTACCCTCACGAGGGTCATGAGAGTTACCCTCACGAGGGTCACGAGAGTTGCCCTCACAAGGGTTACTAGGGTTACCCTCACGAGGGTCACGATGGTTACCCAGGTCAAGTGACCCCTCCTGGGGTCACGTGACCTGGGGATACCCCCCGAGGTCACGTGACCCCCGTTGACGTCATAGCCACTGATGACGTCATCAGTGACGTCACTGATGACGTCACCGGCATCCGCATCGTCATCGTCACTGATGACGTCATCAGTGACGTCACTAATGACGTCACCGGCATCCGCATCGTCATCATCATCACTGATGGCGTCATCAGTGACGCTACTGATGACGTCATCGGTATCGTCACGTGACCCCCCGACGTCACGTGACGCCCCAAGGTCACGTGACTCCCACAAGGTCACGTGACCCCCAAGGTCACGTGACCCCCCGCCCCCCGAGGTCACTTGACCCCCCCCCCAGTACCCTTCCCTCCTCCTCCTCAAGAGCTGCGCTCTAATTCGGCGTTACAGGGAGTTGTAAACGGCTTTCATTTTTTTAGAGCGCAGCTCTTAGGGGCCCGTTTCCGGCTTGAGCGGCGTCGCCGTCGGCGTCGGCGTCGGCGTCGCCGTCGCCGTCGCCGTCGCCGTCGGCGTCGGCGTAACCGCGCGGTGCATCATGGGAAATGTCCCATAATGCACCGCGCGAGCCCCCCACCAAGGTCACGTGACCTCGTGGGGGGTCACGTGACCCCCCGAAGTCACGTGACTCCCCTGAGGTCACGTGGCCCCCTCCTCGAGGTCACGTGACCCCCGCCGATGTCGCGTGACCCCCCGATGACGTCATCGTCACTGATGACGTCACCGGCATCCACATCGTCATCGTCATCATCACTGATGACGTCACCGGCATCCACATCGTCATCGTCATCATCACTGATGACGTCACCGGCATCCACATCGTCATCGTCATCACTGATGACGTCACCGGCATCCGCATCGTCATCGTCATCATCACTGATGACGTCACCGGCATCCACATCGTCATCGTCATCATCACTGATGACGTCACCGGCATCCACATCGTCATCGTCATCATCACTGATGACGTCACCGGCATCCGCATCGTCATCGTCATCATCACTGATGACGTCACCGGCATCCACATTGTCATCGTCATCATCACTGATGACGTCACCGGCATTCACATCGTCATCATCACTGATGACGTCACCGACATCCGCATTGTCATCGTCATCATCACTGATGACGTCATCAGTGACGTCACTGATGTCGTCACCGGCATCCGCATCGTCATCGTCATCATCACTGAAGACGTCATCAGCGACGTCACTGATGACGTCACCGACATTCGCATCGTCATCGTCATCATCACTGGTGAAGTCATCAGTGACGTCACTAATGACGTCATCGGTACCCGCATCGTCATCGTCACTGATGACGTCATCAGTGACGTCAGTGATGACATCATCGGCATTGGGGGTCACGTGACCCCCAAGGTAACGTGACCCCCCCCTGGTTAGTTTAACCCCCCCCCCAGTGCCCTTCCCTCCTCCTCCTCAAGAGCTGCGCTCTAATTCGGCGTTACAGGGAGTTGTAAGCGGCTTTCATTTTTCTCTCTCTCTCTCTTGTTTTGCCGGTAACTTACGCCCGAAACTCGCGAAGTACCTCCAAAGTTCTGATCAAGGGTTCAAACATCTTCAACATTTTCTTTATTAAAAGAATATGGCTTGCATATTCTTCCCTTACACAAACCTCTTTTAACTCGATGCAGGTCCTTATATAGCGCAAGCGCTCGTTCTACGGAAGAATGTTTCAAAGCCGTTACCCTTTATTTACATTTTTGTTGCGTATGCGTTCGTGTGCGATATAAATATAGATCTGTAACTCGGCGGCTTATCATAAACTCCCCGTTCAGCTCACTGTTCCTAGAAATGTTTTCGCTCGCTTTTTTTTTCTCTCTCTCTCTTGTTTTGCCGGTAACTTACGCCCGAAACTCGCGAAGTACCTCCAAAGTTCTGATCAAGGGTTCAAACATCTTCAACATTTTCTTTATTATAAGAATATGGCTTGCATATTCTTCCCTTACACAAACCTCTTTTAACTCGATGCAGGTCCTTATATAGCGCAAGCGCTCGTTCTACGGAAGAATGTTTCAAAGCCGTTACCCTTTATTTACATTTTTGTTGCGTATGCGTTCGTGTGCGATATAAATATAGATCTGTGACTCGGCGGCTCATCATAAACTCCCCGTTCAGCTCACTGTTCCTAGAAATGTTTTCGCTCGCTTTTTTTTCTCTCTCTCTTGTTTTGCCGGTAACTTACGCCCGAAACTCGCGAAGTACCTCCAAAGTTCTGATCAAGGGTTCAAACATCTTCAACATTTTCTTTATTAAAAGAATATGGCTTGCATATTCTTCCCTTACACAAACCTCTTTTAACTCGATGCAGGTCCTTATATAGCGCAAGCGCTCGTTCTACGGAAGAATGTTTCAAAGCCGTTACCCTTTATTTACATTTTTGTTGCGTATGCGTTCGTGTGCGATATAAATATAGATCTGTGACTCGGCGGCTCATCATAAACTCCCCGTTCAGCTCACTGTTCCTAGAAATGTTTTCGCTCGCTTTTTTCTCTCTCTCTTTCTCTCTCTCTTGTTTTGCCGGTAACTTACGCCCGAAACTCGCGAAGTACCTCCAAAGTTCTGATCAAGGGTTCAAACATCTTCAACAATATCTTTATGAAAAGAATATGGCTTGCATATTCTTCCCTTACACAAACCTCTTTTAACTCGATGCAGGTCCTTATATAGCGCAAGCGCTCGTTCTACGGAAGAATGTTTCAAAGCCGTTACCCTTTATTTACATTTTTGTTGCGTATGCGTTCGTGTGCGATATAAATATAGATCTGTGACTCGGCGGCTCATCATAAACTCCCCGTTCAGCTCACTGTTCCTAGAAATGTTTTCGCTCGCTTTTTTTTCTCTCTCTCTCTCTCTCTTGTTTTGCCGGTAACTTACGCCCGAAACTCGCGAAGTACCTCCAAAGTTCTGATCAAGGGTTCAAACATCTTCAACATTTTCTTTATTAAAAGAATATGGCTTGCATATTCTTCCCTTACACAAACCTCTTTTAACTCGATGCAGGTCCTTATATAGCGCAAGCGCTCGTTCTACGGAAGAATGTTTCAAAGCCGTTACCCTTTATTTACATTTTTGTTGCGTATGCGTTCGTGTGCGATATAAATATAGATCTGTGACTCGGCGGCTCATCATAAACTCCCCGTTCAGCTCACTGTTCCTAGAAATGTTTTCGCTCGCTTTTTTTTCTCTCTCTCTCTCTCTCTTGTTTTGCCGGTAACTTACGCCCGAAACTCGCGAAGTACCTCCAAAGTTCTGATCAAGGGTTCAAACATCTTCAACATTTTCTTTATTAAAAGAATAGGGCTTGCATATTCTTCCCTTACACAAACCTCTTTTAACTCGATGCAGGTCCTTATATAGCGCAAGCGCTCGTTCTACGGAAGAATGTTTCAAAGCCGTTACCCTTTATTTACATTTTTGTTGCGTATGCGTTCGTGTGCGATATAAATATAGATCTGTGACTCGGCGGCTCATCATAAACTCCCCGTTCAGCTCACTGTTCCTAGAAATGTCTTCGCTCGCTTTTTTTTCTATCTCTCTCTCTCTTGTTTTGCCGGTAACTTACGCCCGAAACTCGCGAAGTACCTCCAAAGTTCTGATCAAGGGTTCAAACATCTTCAACATTTTCTTTATTAAAAGAATACGGCTTGCATATTCTTCCCTTACACAAACCTCTTTTAACTCGATGCAGGTCCTTATATAGCGCAAGCGCTCGTTCTACGGAAGGATGTTTCAAAGCCGTTACCCTTTATTTACATTTTTGTTGCGTATGCGTTCGTGTGCGATATAAATATAGATCTGTAACTCGGCTGCTCATCATAAACTCCCCGTTCAGCTCACTGTTCCTAGAAATGTTTTCGCTCGCTTTTTTCTCTCTCTCTCTCTTGTTTTGCCGGTAACTTACGCCCGAAACTCGCGAAGTACCTCCAAAGTTCTGATCAAGGGTTCAAACATCTTCAACATTTTCTTTATTAAAAGAATATGGCTTGCATATTCTTCCCTTACACAAACCTCTTTTAACTCGATGCAGGTCCTTATATAGCGCAAGCGCTCGTTCTACGGAAGAATGTTTCAAAGCCGTTACCCTTTATTTACAATTTTGTTGCGTATGCGTTCATGTGCGATATAAATATAGATCTGTGACTCGGCGGCTCATCATAAACTCCCCGATCAGCTCACTGTTCCTAGAAATGCTTTCGCTAGTTTTTCTCTTTTTTACCGGTAACTCACGCCCGAAACTCGCGAAGTACCTCCAAAGTTCTGATCAAGGGTTCAAACATCTTCATGATTTTCTTTCTTAAAAGAATATGGCTTGCATATTCTTCCCTCACACAAACATCTTTTAACTCGGTGCAGATCATGCAGGTCCGAGCCCTGGTGCGCCGGTGGTCCACATTTCTCAGGGTAGGAGCCGTGTCCGCTATTTGCTTGCTCGTTGTGCTGCGAGGTAGGTGGATAGTTTACTATTTTGAGACATGTCGTGACTTACTGTGTTAAAGGGATACTACAACGAAATTTCGGCGCTCATTTTTTCGTCTATATGTGTTCAAAAGAGCAGTATCAAATGGAACATACCAATATCTTGTTAAAAAGTCTCGAAAAGGAATTTTAAAACGAATTAAACGATTAGCAAAGAGCACCTGGTGGATGTCGCTAACACCTCGTTTGTAATGCTCGTCTAGGAACCTTGACAGCTAGTGACGGAGGTTGTCTCGTCTCCGGCCACGACAAGAGAAGGGGGGAAGGAGGAACTCCCCTCTTCCCGAGAATTCCTTTTGTGTGTCGCAGAAGTGGCTATTGTCCCCCTAGAAGATTATAGAAGATTAACCCGTCACTCAAAATTCGTACAAAAGCAGCCGCTTCGGTGGCTGGAACGACTAGGCCATCCTATCGACGTCAGCCTCGCCGTAGCTTTGCTCGTCTTGAGACGACCTACGTCACGATTGCGTTGGATGTCACGTGCTCTAAGCTGGGCCTTCTTCGAGCGCTTGCCAGAGTGGGCCGTTTATAACGAAAAATACAGCCACCAGGATCAAAATACAAACTTGCGATTGTCATTTACGGATATTGTGGATCATATTCAACCTATTTTTGAACACGACGGGAATATTTCAAATTTCGTTAAAGTATCCCTTTAATAGGGAGTTTTCGTAGACCGCGTTTCCCCCTCCGCTAAGCCCTCCGCAACAAAGAAACCGCTAATGCGCTGCGCGCCCCGTGGCCTTGACTGTAGAGTTCCGGGTATCGTAGCAGGTTGTGGAGAGTGTTGCGGGACAGTGGAAACGATCTGGGAAAACTCCCTATTACTTCAAGATATTATTAGCGAGTTTTAGTAGACCGTGTTTCCCCCTCCGCTAAGCCCCCCCCCCCCCCGCTACCCGAAACTCTACAGCCAAGGCCATCGGCACGCAGGCGCAATGGCGGTTTCTTCGTAGCGGAGGGGGAAACACGGTCTACTAAAACTTTTAGTAAACCGTGTTTCCTCCTCCGCTAAGCCTTCCGCAACGAAGAAGTTGCTACTGTGCCTGCGCGCCGACAGCCTTGACTGTAGAATTTCGGGTATCGTAGCGGGTTGCGGAGGGCGTTGCGGGACGGCGAAAACGATCTACGAAAACTCCCTATTGGCTCCGTTATTGCAAGACGGACACCTTTCACGGCATCGACGCAAGAGGAGGGTGCTGCAAAGAGCGCTCTTTTCCCATCTCGGTCTGGAACATATCGACTCGTAGATTATCGTAGGATAGAGTGTTATCATCATCAACCAGCGGCAGTTTATTTTGTCCTTCAGCTCGATATGTTCATGCAAGCAAATGTTTCGTAAAGTACGACGAAGGAATCTGGCATAAGTTTCTATTGTAGATTTGAGAACATTTTCAACCTGCCCGGGTTCTTATTTTATGGTAAAATTATTAAAAAGAATACGGATATGTCGTTCTGCAAATATAATTCTAGACTACTCATTAAACAAAAGCACGCCCATTTCTTGATACGCTCTGATATCTAAGTTGGTTGCAACACCGATCTGGCAAAACCATTCTGCAAAAAAGAAAAAAAAGAACACGAGGGGGTTATTATGGGGTCGGTATTTAAGAAGTTTACATATCTAGTCAATTCGAGGAGAAATATATAATGGGCTTAATGACAATATACCGGGAGTTTGTGAGAAATCCGAGCCCGGCTTTTCGCACCGCAAAAATAAACTAGACGTCGCGGAGAGCTCAAACTCCGTCAGAACGTAGCCCCAGCCGTTCGAGCAGGATGCCAAAGTTTCACCACCAACCCTTATCTCATTCAGAAGTTATAAGTGATATTGTGAAATTTTCAATGGAAAAATGGGGCCCATTTTCACCCGTTTTTGGTTTTAAGCGCCATAGAGCTCCATGTATTTGAGAACTCCGTTGGCCGCCATTTTTCCATTGAAATTTTGAGAAAATCGTTTATAACTTTTGAATAAGATAACGGTTGGTGCTGAAACTTTGGCCTTTTGCTCGAATGGCTGGGGCTACGTTTTGACGGAGTTGGAGCTCCGTTTATTTTTGCGGTGCGAAAATTCGGGTTCGGATCTCTCACAAACACCCGGTACATGCTTGTGTGAATATTCGGTTGTTTCGAATATTCGATCGAATGTAGGCTATTTAAGATTCACTTCGATTCTAATATTAATAATCGAAAAACACACAACGCTTGCGTATTCAAGTTTGGGTCGAATTGGTGTTTTTTAGGCGAGAAATTTTGTCGCAGCAGGGGCCAGAAAGAGGTTCCGCCTCAAGAAAGACAATGATCTCGCTGAGCTGGAGATTAGGTTGTCGATGCGCTGATTCCACGATAATGTTTAAGAAATACGGACACCCAGATATTTGTACAATGAGACAATTTCTAATTGTTGTGAGAGTAATGAATATTCGCTAGATGATTTGATCAAATTGGGGGTGACGGTCATTTGTTCGCATTTTTCGGGGTTTCGCATTTTTCATCTGTCATTGGGTGCACCTGCAGCTTATGGTGTCAAGGTCGTTTTGAAGAATGTAATGATCTGTTGGGCCAGTAATTTTTTTTATACAACACAGTCATCGGCAAATATCCGAGTAGTCGAATTAATTGAGGAAGAATTTAATATAGATTTATTCCTCTGTACGCACGGCGACAGCAGCCCGTTCATACGCGTCGCGTGCGCTGGGTACGTCGCCCAAATTTCAATACGGCCTGCAAGTTCGTCTGCTCTTTGCGCACTCCGTGCGTTTGCTCACCCTCCAGATGCGTCCACGTACCCTCGTTTCCCTCCCATCTCGGCCGATGGCGGTGCGCTCTTAGCTGCTTCGTCGTCGCATGTTCTCTGCGCGTTCTCTTTGCTGTCTGTTGATTGGCGTGGGTCCCCCTGCGTTCCAATGCGCAAAAGACGTGTTTTTTTTTAAACATTTCTTTTTCATTTATTTTCAGTTTTAGTTAATTTCTCTTGTTTTCCAGAGAAGGACGACGACAAAAACTTCTTATTCGTAGCTGACGAACTTTCGATAGAATTTTTGAATTAGCGAGCGTAGAGAATACCATCGGATCACAAGATATCCTCTGGAGTGTACCCGTGTTTTCTAAGACAATTGTAAGTTAGAATGTAAAACGAGCTAAAACCATTCGTCTGAGATGTTAGTTTTACGAAACTTCTTTTTTCTTTTATTAAACGGCTTTATGTTATTTTTTTATCATACCTCAATTTGTTAAATGAGATGGCTTGCTGGAGGCGATACGCAAGATGTGGGACGATCGACCCGTGCTCGTCTACCGCGAGGCTTAACCGAGATCGTTCATAAATGAGACAGCACTATCGTTAACTGAACAACTTGGAGGAAGCCGGGACGTTACTAAATAACCTTCGAGCGACTCAGCGTTAGACGACTATCCGCGAATAGTAAGCTGACTCGTTTTGAAATAATATATTTAAATTCAGTTGATTAGTCATAACAATGCTGAGATCCTGCATCATCCACCATCGTATCAGTACATAAAAATTACCCAGAGACAATAATCACCAAACACGCTTTTTCATACGTAAAACTACATATATTGGAAGTCATAAAAGATGTATTCCCTTCATGGTTTGGAAAGAAAGGCAGGAAAAATTAGCTGCGCAATGTCTATCATAGGCCTTCCCTGTCTCCCGCTGCAAATAGTAGCATTATGGCCTTGACAATAGGCAGGATCAGCGTCATAACTTCATGGGCAAGCAACTATAGGTCAAGGGCTTGTGTCACGAAATCGAAGCTACTAACAATTATTTAGAAACGTACCCGCGTATACTCCCGACTTCAAAGACAGCTCTATTATATAAATGAGCGTTTCAAGTCAATGCAAGAATTCCTATACTTCTCGAAGTCGGGAGCCTGCTGTGGGCATCCACTTGATTTTAGTCGAATAAATATTTTGACAGTTATTTTTCTGTTTGTTTGTTTTTTGCTTTTCTTGAGAGGTTATTCAAAGAACGAAAATCTTTAATGATGTGGTTTTGGCATTCAACGACACAACATCGAACAATTTTCTAACCAGAAAACTTAAAAGCTGAGGTCGGTACAACATGTGGCCCTGCATGCGCGCGCGGGGAGTGGGATCGGGAGGGCCCGTCAGGCGCGGCTGCAGAACAAACATCGGCGCAGGAAGGTCCACGCTGCGCGTCCTGGCCTGCCTGCAGCCTGGTGGTCGCCCCTGGTCCTTCAAAGTCTCCGAGACGCCGTTGGAGGCTCCGCCGACGGTGTACGTGGTCACACCCACGTACCGGCGCCCCACACAGGCACCGGACCTGCTCCGGGTCTCGCAGAGTCTCATGCTCTCCACCAACGTCTTCTGGGTCGTCGTCGAGGACGCCACCAGGCGCTCCGAGCTGGTCGGTGCTCCGTTTTGACTGAATCCAACCACGGAGGTTGAAAGCTCCTGGAGGCGACATGGTAACACCAGAGGTGAAGCCAGAAGTGTGGAGGGGCACGCCCGGACCCCAACGATGACCAAAACCACAGCTGTTTCGGTCACCCTCGGGTGCCCGGTGTCACTTCCAGAAGCTCCCTACCTCCATGGATGCACCATATAAGACGCTAAGGAGTGACGACACATTTCTGCCAGTTATCTTAAGCTTAATCTGAAATCGCGGGAAACGCTTTTCCGTCCTCCAGAAATGTGAAGATAGTCCGCGACAGAGATAAACCATCTGAGCTTTCTAACACCCTATCTAAACTTCTGGGAAGTCGTACTTTCGAATCGTAACAATTGCCAATGAATCTTTTTCTTGTAAGCTTCTGCGCATGCGTACACCCTCTCCCCTTACCTCGCTTCCTGTTGTCGCCATTTTCAGAGTCCCGCACGACCAACATCGTCAACATCCATCTTTGTGCCTAATTCATCTTTTTTCTTTATGCTTTATATTGCTTCGGTGCATGCAGCCGTTTTTCGTTTGGACGGTCGTGGTCTGGTTTGGATTGGACTGGTTTAGTGTGGCCGCGGCGCCATGCTCATTCGCTTCGTTTGTTCGCTCGTTACGTCCACTTTCCTTCTTACAAGAGGGAAAGCGTCTTCCGGCGTTCTGGCACGCTTCCAATGACGCGTCGCGGAGCAGGAGAGGGAGGAAGCTGTGGGTGCCTGCATCCGAAACCGCCGACGCCATGGCAATAAGGGGCTTATAATCTGGACACTTGGCTAAAAAGTCAGTGAGAAATCCCGCGGCTGTGATTGGCTGTCGAATACCGCCGGATTTCTCACCGACCTTTTCGCCAAGTGTCCGGAGTAGGGCACCCAGCCCTATTCTGGCTCACCGAACACAACAGTGCGGACCGTTGCGAGGTTAGAATCCCCGTTTTTCTCCGGTTCGGAACCCCTGCGCTAAATGCAAACGCATTTCGTCCAGAATCAGCGTAGCGACAACAACTTTGGCATCATTATTATTTTTTTAACATCGGTTTATTTTGTTTATTTTGAAGCTGAGATTACAGACGAAGCTACAAGCGCAAGCTAGCCTGTGATCCTGGCTTTGAGCCGTGAAATTTCTAGCACGAGTGCTCGTTCTGCGGAAGGACGTTTCAAAGTAGCGACCTGGTGCTCCCGTGCTTGTGGCATTGGCTGCATTCTCACCTTAAATAGGCGGTGCAACGATATTCAGCTGGAATGTTCTTCACTTTTCACGAGCTTACTGGCACTATACTCCGTTCACCCTTAAGGTCGGTGCACACGGGCGTTTCCTTGCGATTTCTTACGTTGCGCGAGGAGTCATCGGGGCATTCGTGCTTCGCATGTCGCGTGCAAAGCTACTCCTTGAGCCGGTCGCCACGCTTCATTCGAAGCACGGATGTCCCGATGACTCGGGACGTAAGCGGTCGTAACGTAACGTATAGGGAGTATTCACTGGACGCCATATTTGTGGGTGCTGTTTAGAGCGCATGCTCAGAACGAGCTCACATCAATAGTCTGCTAAGACCGGCACTCTTGATGGTGCGGAATGCACGTTGCAAAAGAACTGTGGAAGCTCGCCGTCAGCACGCGCTCAGCATTCGCGCACACAGCTATGGCCGCTAATGAAATTAATGCCCCCATGTGAACCAACCTTTAAGCTGAGACTTCAGCCAATGCCACAAGCACGAGAGCTTGAGGTCTCTGCTCTGAAGCGTTCTTCCGCAGAACATGCACGCCTCAAAGCCAGAAGCTCGCGCTTGTAGCTTTGGCTGGAGTCTCAGCGTGAACAGAGTATAGCCATTGGCCAAGAAACCTCTTTGTTACGGTGTAATTTCTAAGATAAAAGCGGGCGTTTTCTTTCAATTTTTCCTAACTTGGTGATGTAGTTTGTATACGTGTTGGCATAGCCTCGTTTCCTTTGGGCGGTGTATATATGACCATGTGTGACGGCGGTCGAGAGAGTGTGGCGGGTCTCTGGGTCTTCTCAGGTGGCCTCGATCGTCGCGGGGTCCGGCCTGCCGAGCGTGCACTTGCTGGGCCCCTGTCCCAAAGAGCACCGCAAGCCTTCTTCCGGACGAGGCGCCGCGGGCCGCCGCAGAGCGCTGCAGTGGCTGCGCCAGAACGCCTCGCTCCCGGGGGTGCTTTACTTCGCCGACGACGACAACACCTACGACTTCCGGCTCTTCGACGAGGTGACCTGGTATGCTTATCGGGGGGCTTTAAAGGATGGCTCACACACCTGCGACCACTCACGACCGGAAAGACTGAAGGCTGGTTATCATATAGTCGCCATCGCTTACGACCGAGTTCTCATCGCTTGCGGCGAGAGAACAGACTGGCACGCTGGCATCTAGGAGGTGACCCTGGAACTGCATTTCACTAGAGCGAAGGTTTTGCAATATTTGCGAGATAAAATGTACGTACTATATATAAAATATTGTAATTTATAACATTTCCAAAAAAAATTCAGGCGAAAAAAAAGGGGGGGGGGGATATAGGGAAATTTTAAGTGCTCCACGGCTATCCGATATGTGGCGCCATTGTGTTATCTCGTCGTAAGAGATCCCAGGAGAGTCGACGAGCCCCCGATCGCGTTGGCCGACGCTGGCTGCGAACGGGTGTCTATGTAATGCGCAAGGCGGCGTAGCGCTCAGGGCGCGTCGGCGTGGATGACGACGGAATAGAGCACGCTCTATTCGCGTCGTCGACGAGCGCAAACCAACGAGGGTGGCTTTCTCAGAAGCCCTCACGTGAGCGCCCCATTTGGGAAGCTGGATGTCGGGACCAGTCGGAGTGTGTGAGACGCTCATTTCTGCGATCTGAACGTGCCGTTCTTGCCGCGTGTCGTGTGCTGTTGTTCACATGTTCCCGTGTTGGTGTGCATACGACTGGACGAGTGTGTGCGGGACGTGGACTGCTCCGAGAATTCACTACCCCCTGAGAAGCTACGAACCGGACGCACATGCATGTTTTACCGGCAAAAGCTGAAAGCTCGATGACGCGCCAAAGGTAGAGTCAGGCACGCAGCCAGGGGGGAGGACCATGGAATCCGGCCCCTCCCCCTCCCCCCCCCCCCCCCGAAATCTTCCATTTTGCACGGGTCCTCCCCTCCCCCCTCCCCCTCATACAGCATTCTATCATGGTGCCCCCCCCCCCGAAACAAAATCCTGGCTAGTTGCCTGTGTAGAGTTAACTAGAAATAATTAAGGATGACCTAATGTGCTAGTCGTACGCCACGGCAGTCGCTCCCGATCGAAACAACAAGCGCCATTGAATGTACGGGAACGGCGGACCCAGTGAAACGTCCGAACTATTTAGCCGACCAGAAAGTTTCAACTGGGCAGCTTGTAAACGCTAGTAGCGATGGGCGATGAAAAGAGGAGACTAAATCGACCCTTTATTGTTTGTATAAGCACCGCTATAATTCGGAACGTATACATTGCGTAATTTAGCCATCGTGTCTTTATCCTGTCTTCTGTAACCGGTGTCAGTCTCGGGTCATGTGGAAGTGTAGCTATGAAGATAGCTCGCTGACCATCTCTCAGAAAGATGTCTCTGTGGAATATCGAGTGCATCGTTTTCATCGAAGTATCCCGGCGGATTCACCTGTCGCTTGACACGACACCGGCTATCCTGCCAAGCGGCCATCTTCGACGGACGCGATATTGCGATTTTTTTTTCGTCGACATTTGCGTGATATTTTGGAGAAAATAAAAGTTGGTTTGCACTCGTTATCCCCTTCATTTTCATCTTTTCGAACTGCTAACCATTGCCCCAAATCGCTGCTTCGAATTCATGACCACACGACACGGACGGACCACACCGACCGAGCGCGTGATTGGTACAGACCAGGAAACGGAAATCCTCTACACGAGACGACACGGTTACCACGGGGACGCGCATGCGCAAAATGAAGGCGCGCTGGACCGCGCTCGCGCTGGACTGTAAACACACGTTTACAGTCCAGCTTCTGAAACGCCTGAACCACTGTACAGTGGTTCAGGCGCTTCTCGGCGCGACATAGTGGCCGACGAACGTCGTTTTGCGTCTTAAAAACAGGTTAAGCCTTTTGTGACTGCTTGCGACCGTCTGCGCACAGCGCAGCTAGTCAGAAGTAGTAAAAAGAAAATTCAGCAGAGACGCTTAATATTGCTTACGTGTAGGAAGGCGAAATGCATTCCTACCCGCTGGGCGTTCTTACAAGCAACGCGCCACATTTTCCTTTTTCACACGGCGCTCCGTAGGTGACATCGCACTCCCCCACTGCGCAGGTGCGGCGAACCCCGCCGGCTTCACGATGGCTTCCGCGACGAAGCATCTGCGCTGCTTTTCTTTTCTTTGTGTTTTACTTCTGAGGCGCGTGCCTGATGACGTTTTGGTGTGACCATCGTTCGGGCACAACACCGCAGCTTTTTCGCGTAATGGGACAAGTAAGGCTTTCGCCTTAAAAGTTTAAACCCGGCTTTTAGTCTCTCCGGTCGTAAGCAGAAGTCTAAGTGGAGAGAGTCAAAACAAAATTGAAAAATAAAGTTCTTTCCAACCTGTATACCACACGAGGTATAACAGCCGTTAGCAGTCGCAAATGTCTGAACCAGCCTTTAGAGCTCGGGAAGTGCTGCAAGTTATGCCAGTGATGTTATACCAGAGCCAGAGGTGGCCAAGCTGCGGTTCGCGAGCCGCATGCGGCTCCTTGCGTGTCAAAAGTGAAGTATTACAAGAAACGTATCTGTATAAAGCTATCCGTCACGAGCGAATTAAGATCGGCTCACCAAGAATGGAGAGGTCAAGGAAAAGCTGCCCGTTCTCCGAGCCAGAATGGCGACCATACGGGGGAGCTTTGCGCTTTCTCAGCGGCCATCCAGTGACTTCAATGCCACATAGAAGACAAGGCCTCCTCCCAAACGTCATGACTAGTGGTTCGACGCAGCGTGCCGCCTATGAGACGTGCATCCGTCTCACAACGAGCGCGACGCCAAGGCGGACGCGTGTGCCGCCTTGCGGGGACTCTGGTCCAGCTTCGGCGTCGTCGGGGATCCACTAGCGATGACGTCATGCGAAGGCCTCGCCTTCTAAGTGGCATTGCATTGACAGAGTGAGAACGGCACAGAGGTCCTTCAGTTCGTTCCGCAGCCTCCATGCGCTTTGGCAGGCAGCGTCCGTTCCGGGCTCTCTCCGTGCAGATCCGGTGGGTCCGGAAGGTGGGCGTGCTCCCCGTAGGACTGGTGGGCCGGTTCGGCGTGAGCAGCCCCGTGGTGGTGGCAGGACGCGTGGTGGGCTTCCACGACTCGTTCGACTCGGGACGGACCTTCCCTGTCGACATGGCGGGCTTCGCGGTCAACCTGCGGCTGGTGCTGGACGGCCAGCCGGACATGCCCTACGTGCTCGGGATGCAGGAAACTCGCTTCCTCGAGAGCCTCAACGTCACTACCGCCCAGCTGGAACCGCTGGCGCGGAACTGCACTCAGGCAGGTCCCGGTGTGACTGCCGTCCGCTTTGGGCACGGGATGATGAGGGAAATGAAACCGAAGGAAATACCATTATCTTCAAGATAAGCGGCATATTTAAAATATCGTTCTTCGTATTTATTAGCGTGCAGGGAGAGTAATCAGACGCGAAATGTATACTACGGCAGTGTGTCTACTTTCCCGCAAAGTCCTAAGCAAAAATCTCAACAATCCACGGAGGAATTTCGGGAGAGGACGGGAATGAAAGTATGTTTAGACCTGAACACAAGAGGGGTCTTAGCAGTGACACTAAGCATGACGTTTTCAGTCTCGTTATTCGCCGAGCTTGCTCCCTAGATTGCAGGGATTGTACTCCCCAGGTGCTTTACTGGAAAGCAGACGCACTGGATTTTTTTAGATGCTTCCTATCTCAAAATATACTCGCCAAGTACCTCTGAAGCATAAACATACATTAGTACATCAAGCCTATTATATACTACGCATAGCATATAACCGGAGTTTAAATGATCATTCATCACTGTTCAATGGATGCAGAGTAATATGGAAGAAAACTTCCTATATATATATATATATATATATATATATATATATATATAATGCCGTTTCCGCGTCAAAGGGGGGCGGGGGGGGGGGGGGGTGGCAGCGTGTTTTTGAGCGGATTCCTTTAACAGCAAACTACTTATTAAGATCTAGGAAACGAAAATAGCTTTCAACTTCAATGCGCCCTGTGTACACGATCATACCAATCATACTGACATACGTGCGGCGCAGGTAGTACCTCAACTCCCACGCGACGCTCGTATCCGTGCTACCTTGTCGCCGTGTAATTTAAAGAATAGAAACGGACTGGTTCTATGCGTCTAGCCCTCAGCATGCAGAGCTCGTCGGTGCAGTCGTAGGGATTACGTCGACGTAGTAAGAGGGTGCTTCAGTGTGATGACAGCCGAATCCGGCTCCAGCGGTCAACCTGGTCTTGTATCCAACGCCTCGGCAGAAATGAAAGCCCTATATGCCGCGTGTCCCAAATAGCGGCCAGGCCCTTTAAATGGACCGAAAAAACCGGTTTCTTAACCCATCGCGTTCCAATTTTGTACAGCGTTGGCCACAAGTGGTGCATTTTTTCTATAAAATTTTCAAAGAGGAAACTTACCTTAGGAAAGAGTAAAAAAAAAAAAAAGTCTTAACTCCTATAGAAATTTAGCGAAGCCACCGGTCTTCAAACCATAGGGCGCCCTATGGTTTGAAGACCGGTGGATTCGCTCCGTTTTCCATAGGAGTTAAGCCTTTTTCTTTTTTTATTTTTCCTCAGGTAATTTCGCTCTTTGCAAATTTTATAGAAAAAATGTACCACCCGTGGCCAACGCAGTACAAAATCAGAACGCGATAGGTTAAGAAACCGTTTTTTGCGGTCGGTTTAAAGAGCCTGGCCGCTATATGGGACACGGGGTAGATAGTGTGAAATCTCTGCGGTGACCGAAATCGCCGAGCTCTAAAACCCCAGTCACACCGCTCGATACACCGCACAAAAGGCAAGGTGTTCCGCTGTAGCCATGGTGCCATAAGTACCTGAGGACAGGCCTCATGCATCTTACAAGCATGCCATTGCTTCATACATGCTTGGAATAGGTATGCAGGCAGTTTTTGTATGACCAAAGTGACCGCTACAGAAGAAAGTAACACTCTCACGCAGTGTCTGCGGACTGTCGTTTGTACGACGTATGAACAATGTGACCACGGCTGATCAGTCTCCTGGGCACAATAGGTGGCCTCTGCATTGTAAACTTTGCTCATTAAAAATATACATGTATTCTACAACTGTTAGTGTACGTGGACAGCACGACTAACGGCCGCTTCGTTTAAGATATGGAAATATGTTTGGACAGTATATATTTGGCCATTTCCACAACTTTAAATTCCCGGGAGATTCTCTCTGCACTTCGAGACAACGGAGGATTGTCGATCCCTTCCTCGCAAAACAATACAGCTCAACCTTCCGTCGGGTGATTAACGTATCAGCCGGTTATGCTCCGTTACACAACAACACCACCCACATCCAGACGCACTGCAGATTGGTGGTATTCCGAAGCGTCAGTCACATCACTTCCCGCTTATTCGAGCAAACCTATTTGTCCCACTTTAATTGCTCTAGAAGAATAAATAGTTCCAGCGCCGACAAACCGAACACCACGAACTAGCAAAATGTATCCATTATAGCCGCAACCTATATTAGGCTCAACGAACGTGATTTGTTAACACCTGCGAGGTAATAAAAATAAAGAAAAAAAAAACGACCGTTTGTAATTTAGGGATGTCTCGAAGGGCCAATGAATTCCGGAAAGCTGTCACGCGTGCCTGACTCGAAGGTTCCGTGACAGGGGACAATGCTCGAACGAGAAACGAATGTTTGAAAGCTAGTGGACGCGTGTGCACTGTTCGTGTAGTTATTGTGTCCTTGTTCCTCGTGTCTGTTCGTAGGCTCCAGTGAAGAGCTCGAATAAAGTACTATATAGATTTACACGTATTTCCAAGCATAATCATACATAACATCGGATAGTGACGTCAATGCACTAAGCCGAAATGCTCTCCTTTTCAGGTTCTGGTGTGGCACACGAAATCGGTGCCTTCAGTCTTCCCCAAACCCGGGCATGTTAAAGATAAATTTCATCGACAGAACACAAACTTGCAGCGGTTACTAAAATCTATGTTATCATAATAAACAAAATTAGAACTGCAGTACTGTCAACTGTCTATTTCTTGTTTTATTACTGACTTTGCCAAACAAGGTTGCAAGCAGCGCCAAGATCCAACGCTTGGCCACTCTCTGGACTCTGGACAGCTTGACCACTGGAAAATTGTTGCATAACTGAATTATGCTCCGTGTGTTAGGACAGCGGGAAGTTAGTCAGCCCCAATCTGGCTCCGGTATATCCGTCATAGAGAAGAGATTTAGCCAGCGCTGTACCACAGCTAACCCGGGATCTTTAACGATCACGCGCCAGTGGGATGCTCATCCACAAATCGAAACATGCAGAAGCAACATTTGGCAGGATTGGGAATAGTGCTAGGATCCCTGCTGCAGCGCGAGCTTGCGCTCCGAGCTGCCGTGCGCTGACATACGCAACTTCTCCCCCTTTTAGATGGCTGAGACAGAACCGCGTCCGGGAAGTGTCGGCCCTCTCGTCTGACTAAACACCAAAGCTACTGATTTTTCAGCATGGCCTGGCCATCTTTTTTTTTATAAAAGAATGTTAATCACTCACAGTCCTTAGTCGACTATGTCACAAAATAATAATGGTTTTACTTTTAAACAAACATATTGTCACAATTACACTAAACGGGTACAAACATTAAGCCTACTCCACATATTTGGGGTTTCTCGACGTGCTAGTATACATGTTCTGGCATTGATTTCGTGTATTTGTCTCGATGGAACATTACATCTCTGTTATATATCTTTGGTTCACACAACTCGTTGCCCGATCGTGCTATTACGTTTTAAATTTTTTCCTCATTAAAAATTTTCCCGTGCTTCATTTAAGATTGTGACTGTACATGACGTGAGTATACCCCTTATTCTTGTGTTTTATAAAAAAAATGCAGCTTACTTTTTTTTTGACACCCTGAGTTATTTAGGGGTTGCTTCGGTCTTTAGTACAACAATCGCAAATACAAAACTTAAAAAAAAAAATTCAAACTCCTTGTATACATGACAGCAGTAATGGCTTCGATACCAGCGAGAGGTGGCGGGTGGCTGCCGAAATAAAAGAAGCCAGTCACCAACAGGACGTCAACAATGCGACGCGTTTAGCAGGACGTCAGCGCTCCTTGTGGTCTGCACGTGGCTCGTCAGCATTTCCTTTAGGTTACCGCATGGCAGCGGATGCGGCCATTCAACGGGCTCCGACCACAGAAAAGGGGACAAAGAAGCGAACGAACAAAGCGGCGTTTTTGTCGACGGAAATGTCCGGGGAAAGGCGAAATCGCGACGGGCGGCTGCCAGTTGACGGCACCGATGATGCGCCGGCAGCGGTGGCTTCTGCTGCTTTTCGGGGTGGCATCCGTGGTCTGGGTGTGGAAGAGCCAGAAGGGATCGCCTCCTCCACAGGAAGACGTCAAGCTGACCATAATGCAGCAGTTCGGAATTCCACCGGCGATGTCCGAGCCTCCCGTCTGGTGAGTTTCGTTGGCACACCGCGATGTACCGACGCGGAATCCTCAGTTCGGCGTCATCCATTTTTGATAATTCAATCGTTCTTGATTTCGCACCAGCCAAATGCGAGAGGTTTTCTCGACTGATTAACGGGATGCCCTTACCCTTTGGTACCAACCTTTTCTCGTAATCTACGAAGGAAATCATACAACTGTGGAATGTCGGGCTCTAATGGAGGTTCTAATTGTTAGATACGCACACATTTCATCGAGTGAAGAGCGAACATTTCAGCGAGTGAAGAGGTCAAAAGAGAAAGAAAAACAACCAAATGCTAGCCCTCCTTTCCCTTCGAGATCTTGAAATGCTGTGCAGCAATCTACGATCTCAAAAGAAAAGAAAACCTAGTGTCCATTGCTTTTTTTTTTTCTTCCTTTTCGACGATGTTCGTTGAAAAGTTGCAGACTTGGACACAGAAGTCTGTAACATTTCACCGGACATTGTAGAAACTTTTTTGTTGAAAACTAAGCATCGCGTAAGAAAAAAATCAAGTGGTGCCGTAGTGAGGTACGTAGCTTTTCGCATAACTAAGTTTTTAATTAGTGTCACATAATTAGCACTTGGGTTCGTAAAAATTAACGTTTCGCTCCCATCAAAAACTTGTGGAGCTTCCGTGCTATGCGTAATTTTTACGTAAAACATTTGGCCGATATTCCGTGAAACATTGTGAATATATTCTTTCGTTTACCATTTTATCTTGTTGCCGTGTACACTGTTAGAAAAACTCCTGTCAAAATATGGGACACATACATGCTAACCTTGTTGCCACAACATGTCCTGTATTACAGGACTACAGAACATGTTCCATACTTCTTTAGTACGGGACATGTTGTTGCTGTATGGGCAGCTACAACAAGTTCCATACACCATCATCACGGAACAAGTACTGTATGCTACAGGAAATGTACCATTGTGGCACACAGCAGCACATGTTCTGTTGCAAGCCATGCCAGAACATGTACCATTTTTACGAAGTACATTACATGTTCCAATGCGTCCAAAACGACACAGGTTACATTTCTTGTACGTACGGAAAAAGTTCAGCCTTGTTTGTGATAGTACTCGCCCCATTTTATGTTACTGCCGCTATTCATGAGTACATCCGGGCTTTGTATGTCACATGCCAAGCTCCTCCTTGAAAACGTTGATATGCGACATGCAAAACAGGGATGTCGTGGCAGTTTGCAGGCGCAACTTGATGCACGTCTTCGCAACATAAAATTACCTGCAATGCGCAAATGTTCCCCAAACTTGTATGTATGGAAAATTTGAACTGTCGTATCTAATGCGAGCACTATCCTGAAAACAGAACAATGAATCTGTGACATATATAGTCAATAGAACAGCCAGGAATGCCATGAGAAAGTGTTCACATGCTACGTCAAGTTTAGAGAGCATTGTACATGCAGTGACGGGGATAAAGGCAGATAAACATTTGTAAAAAAATCGTTATCAAACTAAGTTCACGCTTGGTCCTTTTGGTTCCAACCCATAGCAACGGACCCATTGCAAAGAAGACTGAACAGTTTGCTGCTTCAAAAATATTTACATTTATTTTTCTTTTAAATGACTAGAGCAGATACACAATAAAAAAAAACACAGTTCATGTCGCAAATATTTTGGGGGGCAGCTCAGCCATAAAAAAAATATCAAAGTGAGCAGTCTCCTAAAAAAATGTGACCAAAAATTATGCTGACATGCTACATCTCGAAAAGAACCATCTTGGCGTATACAACAAATTGTAATATTAACAATAGAAAAGAAAGATTAATCTAAACAAGCACCGAAGTTTTTTTCCACTTCTTTTGGAACTTCGAGAACTTTTGGAGGGCTCCCTGCGCCTTCAGATGCACCAGAGCAACTTTTCTTGACGACTGCCGGGACCCCTCCTGCGGGTTCATTGCCACAAGTCGCCTGAAAAAAAGATAACATAAATAATGGGTGAGATTTCTTAGAGGAGGATGTATAACAGAAGCTAAGGAGTTCCTGGCTCCTTCTTTAACTTCTCTATCGGTTAGTAATCCAATCTGAAAAAATTCTAAACCTCGTCTATAGTATACTTTCAAGCCGAGACACGCCCTTAATTTGGACAGTCCGTGCAGACACCATGAGCCTCCAAGTCTGATCCTTGCATCAAGACGAATTGTGATTGTACACAAAAAAACAAAAAAAAACAAAACAAAAAAAAACGATTCAGCTTACTGGCATCAGTTCTCAGTAATAACTGGACACATTTCGGATCTTGTGTCAGCACACAACGCTAAAACATTCTACAACCCGAGACGGAGGCTACAAAGAAGGACGAACACATCCATCTCAATTGAAACGTATGTCTTCGAAGCCTCCATCTCGGTTTGTAGAATGTCATATTAACCAGCTTGCCTGTCTAGTAAAGTTGTACCCAACGATACTTCGGTTAAAAAAAGGAATTCACAGTACCAGTAAATGCAATATTACAAAAAAAACTTGCCTGGAGTGCTTAAGCAGAATATTCTGGTTATTATTAGAGGGAGGTTATCATTTGAGCCCGTTCTCGTTTCGCCCTTCTCACTTGGCCCTTCTCAAAACAACCATTCTCAAAAAAATCTTCTCTCTTGGACCTGGCGCATTTGGTCCTTTCCCGTTTCGTCCTTCGCATTTCAACCCTCCTCATTTGAGTCCGTTCTCGTTTCGCCCTTTTCACCTGGCCCTTTTCAAAACAGCCATTCTCAAAAATATCTCGCTTTGACCCGTCGCACTTGACTCGTTCTATACGAAAATCGTTTTTTTTTTTTTTTTTGGGGGGGGGGGGGTTATATTAATAAGTACATTGATATATTTTGTGCGTGCGTGTGTGTGTGTCACGCTACAGTCATACTCTCTCTGCCAAGGATTTTAGCAGTGCGTCGAGATCGTCGTGAAAAGCTACTAGCTGACAATAAAACAGACCAACTATTTATCGCAGCCAACTCATATTCCAAAATGTCACGTTTTTTGGGGTCTCTCGACCTAGGACAATGCCACCACTTTTATATTGCAGTGTTTCTCAAAAGGGGGTCGCGAAGACATCTATAGGGGTCGGCGAAGCCATGTCTAATCAGTCAAGCACGACAATATTAGTTGTCTTTCTTCACGTCGTTAAGAAACGTTCCAATTTTTGGGTGAGTACTCTCGTGCGTGTGTCAATGAGATAAGTCTACTTCACACTAGCAATTAGTTATATTCATTTATTAAATCATTATCATGATAGCCTATACCTTTCTATTCCCCTCACCCCGAGCGGGGTCCTCCATCATCTCCGCCTTTCTACAAGGGGCCCGCGAAACATCAATGGTTGAGAACCACTGCTAATATGTATGCTATTTCTGTTCAAACAAAGTTTCCAAAATAAAAGTTCATCGCTTTTTTTTTTTCGTTTGCTTAGAGGAAGGGAAGGACGCGTCATTGTACGATTCTCAGTGCGCACCTCTACACATAACATATACCTAATGGTATGTTGGGGGCCCAAGCAAGGTAAGGCTCGTCAA